GTTCTTTACACATCCAGATGTTCATAGCCATTGCTGTCATACCGCTGAGCTGGATCATCAGTGAAGAGTCGCGTGCTACTTCGGTCCTTCTCATCCGAAAGCGCTTACGTTTCACTGCATAGGTAAAATAGGAAAAATAGGAAAAATTATATCAAAAATTATTAGTTGACCGCTAGCACCACACGCGTTGCAGAGAAGGTCGCCAAAATGGCGTTAACCCTTTACCTGCAAGCCACGCGTACATGTTAGTAATTACGACTCTTGACTGTTGTTATCTGTTTCTTGTAGAACTTAAGAGACAGCATTATATAAGTGTGTACATTGCAAGGCTGTTTGATGTGACACCTATTGCAGCCTAAAACACCCACAATGATTCCCAATTTCCACTGCAGTGAACCGTTCATATAACAACAAATCCCAAAAATGCAGCATTGTGCTCCAAGAGCAACACTGAAAAAGTGTCCATCTTTTAAGATCAAAACTTGCTCAAGAAATCAAAAGTTTGCATTCAAAAGACACCTCAGGGCCAGATCTTGCTGTTTGTCTGGAGGATGCCCTCTCACTATATCCGGCAGGTCTTGTTCCTCCTTTCGACGAAAGCTAGTGTCGTAAACATAACCTTTGCCTCGTTTCTGATCAAAAAGAATTCTGGGTAATTCTACCACAACTCGAGAAGGCAACACCTCACATTTTCATTTTAACGAATTATTATTAGTGTCGAGCCACCCAGTCCTACCTGCAAAATATCACATCGATACAGACTTTTGCCACTCAATACTGGCCCAAAAAGACTTGGTAGATCCTGGTAGCCATCCACAGATGGGCCAGAGACACGACTTCACTTGTGAACTCGCCAAGCTTGCCAGAAAGCATTTTGGCGATCCAGTGTACATGAAACCACCTCTCACCTCAGTTTTCTGTCAGAGGCTTGTCTCTACCCACATTCCGGCTTAATGATGCTGTCCTGAGGGCTTCTGTAGAGGGAAAATGGCTTGAAAAACACTTATAAACGCGAGAAAACGAATCGATTTGAACGCACCCAAACACAAGCGGATGATCTAGGTCACGTGATCCCAAAGTCTGAACCCACGGTGTCTCAAAACCGCAAATATTGTAAGGGATACTTCATATAGCGACAAACAAAGCGAGCTTAAGTTTTGTATGGCCAAATTATGAGGTTATTTGCCTGTTGGTAAAGGGTTAAATTAGTCTTCCCGAAATTAAACAGGAGACTGGGGTGGAACTTAACTCGCGAAGCACCCTTGGGCTGTTTTTGGAGGCGCGAGCCAAAGTGATAAAGAAAAACATGCAGAAATTCTTGTGCTGCGTGCCTCGTTGCACAAATAATTGGCGTAATTCCCCAGATTTGAAGTTCCATTCACTTCC